TGTGAAAGTGATGCCACATCTTCAGATGCATCGCTAGAGATACACACATGCTCTTCTGGTCCCCTGGATGGAATCAGTTGTTAGTGTATCTTCCGGCCACCCACTGACCAGCTGTTCCTTAAAGTGGGACAACGTGCAGGTGGTCGGCTTCAGATACTTCATTTTGGCTTCCTGATTTTAGCCTCACTGTAGTCACACCGTGGGGTTTCAGAGGAGTCTTGATGTCAGTCCTTAGCACAGTCAGGAGATGGGCTTCATGCACATTGAGAAGTAGAGGGAGCAGGACCGTGGGCTTATGCCTGGAACAACAAATGTGGAAAATTTGGTGGGACATTAAGGAATGGAAATAAAAGATTATAAAGCAGTAAAAAAGACCCATTTTAATCTGAATCCGTGGGTTTGTGGCAGGAGAGTTCTAACAGTTTTTGGTGTTTCCGTGGCCAATCACTGCCCTGGAAGTCTACGGTGAGAGGTGGTTGGAGAGGCCCAGGACCGGAGCAGGTTTGAGCACGTAACAAAGTCAGAAGCCAGTCAACTTTCATTAATGCACACTGTCTGTGAGTAAAGGGTCTGCTGCACCCAGGAAGTGTTAGTGGATCAAGTAATTCGAAGACTAGGGAGCGAGGAGTACTAACTCTGGAGGATCCAGAACGAGGGGGTCCTGGAGTTGGATAGGTTATGAAGCAGGATTGCTTTAACATATTTTGTAGTACAAGTACATCATATAACTTTAGAAAACCAGAATGTGCATGTGAGTTTAAAAATACGTAAGATATCACTCATAATCCCATCACTAGAGACAGTCACTGGTGACATCTGTTGTATTTCTTTCCGTATTTTTTCTATATGTATTTTTTGTTAAAAGTAGGTAATAGCCCTGACCGGCGTGGCTCAGTGGGTTGGGCATTGTCCCACAACCCAGAGGGTTGCCAGTTCAGTTCCTAGTTGGGGTACGTATCTGGGTTGCAGGTTTGATCCCTGATTGGTGGTGTGCAAGAGGGAACTGATGGATGTTTCTCTGATACATCGATGTTTCTCTCTTACTCTTTCTCCCTCCCTTCCCCTCTTTCTAGAAATAAATAAAATCACTCTGGCTGGTGTGGTTCAGTGGATAGAGCGCCAGCCTGCTCACCAAAGGGTCACCAGTTCGGCTCCCAGTCAGGGCACATGCCTGGGTTGAGGGCCTGGTCCCTGGTAGGGGGTGCGTAAGAGGCAACCACACACTGATGTTTCTCTCCCTTTCTCCTTCCTTTCCCCTCTCTCTAAAAATAAATCTAATAAATAAATAATATCCTTTTAAAAATTTTTAAGTAGATAATTGTACTTTTCACAACTTGCTTGTTTTACTTGGTATACTATAATCTTAATAGATTATAGATTTTATGTCAGTAATTATATTTCTATACTTATATAATATTGTTTTTTCTTTTTTAAAATATATTTTATTGAGTATGCTATTACAGTTGTCCCATTTTCCCCCCTTCACTCCCCTCCACCCTGCACACCCCCTCCCACCCACATTCTCCCCTTTAGTTCATGTCCATGGGTCGTACATATAAGTTCTTTGGCTTCTACATTTCCCATACTATTCTTACTCTCCCCCTATCTATTTTCAACCTACAATCTATGCTACTTATTCTCTGTACCCTTTCCCCCTCTCTCCTCCTCCCACTCCCCTGTTGCTAACCCTCCATGTGATCTCCATTTCTGTGGTTCTGTTCCTGTTCTAGTTGTTTGCTTAGTTTCTTTTGGTTTTGCTTTAGGTGTGGTTGTTAATAATTGTGAGTTTGCTGTCCTTTTACTATACAATTTTTTTCTTTATCTTCTTTTCTTAGATAAGTAAGTCCCTTTAACATTTCATAAAATAAGGGCTTGGTGATGATGAACTCCTTTAACTTGACCTTATCTGAGAAGCACTTTATCTGCCCTTCCATTCTAAATGAAAGCTTGGCTGGATAGAGCAATCTTGGATGTAGGTCCTTGCCTTTCATGACTTGGAATACTTCTTTCCAGCCCCTTCTTGCCTGCAAGATCTCTTTTGAGAAATCAGCTGACAGTCTGATGGGAACTCCTTTGTAGGTTACTGTCCCTTTATCTCTTGCTGCTTCTAGAATTCTCTCCTTCATTTTTACCTTGGCTTATGTAATTATGATGTGCCTTGGTGTGTTTCTTCTTGGGTCCGACTTCTTTGGGGCCCTCTGAGCTTCCAGGATTTCCTGGAAGTCTATTTCCTTTGCCAGAATGGGGAAGTTCTCCTTTATTATTTCTTCAAATATGTGTTCAATCTGTTGCTTTTCCTCTTCCCCTTCTGGTACCCCTATAATTCGGATGTTGGAACATTTAAAGATGTCCTGGAGGTTCCTAAGCTTCTCCTTGTTTTTTTGAATTCTTATTTCTCCATTCTTTCCTGTTTGGTTGTTTTTTTCTTCCTTCTGGTCCACTCTCTTGTTTTGAGTCCCAGTTTCCTTCCCATCACTGTTGGTTCTCCGTGTATCTTCCTTCATCTCTTTTATGGTAACCTGCATTTTTTCATCTAATTTGCGCCCAAAATCAACCAATTCTGTGAGCTTCCTGATCACCAGTGTTTTGAACTGTGCATCTGACAGATTGGCTATCTTTCGGTCGCTCAAAAGGATGAGTCCTGGGGCATTGAGCTGTTCTTCTATTTGAGACATGTCTGTCTTTTTTTTTTTTTGGTCTGGTCGCGCCTGTTAGAGTGAGGGGTAGAGCCTTAGGTGTTCACCGGGGCTGGGCACCCCAGTCGCTAGATTGTGACGTTGTGGGCGGGGGGAGGGGGGCGGACAATGGCGGTAGCTCCGTTCTCCTGGGACCTCAGTCCCTTCTCTGGGATCCTGGGTTGCGCGCTCTGCCCTGGTCCACAATCGCCGCCTCACTGGGTCCGCCAGCTGCCGCCTGTGTATTCAAGGTCCACCCGCTGTGATCCTGTGCGCCCCAGATGCCTTACGCACTCCCGGTTGCCTTATGCGCCCAGTTCTCCCTGTTCTCCGTGCACCTCGACTGGCGCCCGGCTGCTCCTCTCCACCCCTCCTACTGGTCTGGATGAACGGGTCTACTTCAACTTCTTGGCTGTCCGACTTCCATTCAGATAAATTCTCTGTCAGTTCTGGGTGTTATTCTGCCTCTAAATTGTTGTTGTTCTAATCTTGGTTATGTGAGGAGGTACAGTGCATCCACCTATGCCTCCATCTTGCTGGAAGTCTGCTGTACAATATTGTTTTTAATGGTACTTCCCCTCAGGTGGGTATATCATAACTGATTAAAATCCCACTCAACGTGGAATGTGAAGGACGTGGATGGAAGAGCAGGAACACAGGCTGGGCTCCTCTGGGAAGGTGGCCGGGAGCCACAGGGAGGGCGCGGCGTGGTGGCAGCCGGGTGAGGAGGGGCTGGAGGAGGAGAGGGGGTGGCGGGCGGAAAGTGGAGCCGGCGACCATGGAGCACACGGCCCTCCCGGCCGTTCAGCCCCCTCCCTCGGGATGGGAGGGAAGTGCTGGCGTGGATGCAGGGGGGCAGCAGGAGAGGGCTTTGAAGGCGGAGAGACGAAATGAGGCCCTCGTGTGGGTGCAGCTGTGTTTGCTCCCGGTGCGGGAGCATCCCGGAGTGGAGGGGAGTGAGGGAGAGAACTTTCCGTGGCGCGTGCAGGGGCGCACAAAGCAGCGGGGTGGGAAGGGCCAGCAACTGCCTCTAGAGCCGGAGTGCAGCTATAAGTGCCAGCCCTGCACCAGCTGTGAACCCGTGGGCGGGTCTCTTCATTTCCTCACAATGAAACAGGAATGACAGAAGCCTACGCACAGGCCTGTCGGTCTGCTGGCGTGTCACCGTGAGGGACACCGGGGCTGACAGACGTAAACCGAGAGCCGTGCCGAGGGCTCAGTGAGACCCGACATGCAGGAGCATTTACGTGGAATAGAGTAGGGCTGTCGTGGGTAAGAAAGGGGGCAGCAATCGAAGTGACAGCAGACTCGCTCGTGGCAGGAGTCACTGGGAGGTACCAGCTGTGCACGCTGAGCTCGGATGAGGAACTGATAGGTACGGCCACGTCGTCACCGAGGCCCAGGTGGCCCAGGCACTCCGTCCCTACCTCAGCTTCCATGTGACACGGTCGATGGACTTGAACTGTCATTGTGCTTCCCTCAGTAGCATGGGTCGAGAGGTAGGCAGACATGGCAGGGCCCTAAGCAGTGAGTCCAAAGGAGAGTTAGGAAGCTTAGAAATGAAGCTCTCAGAACCCCAACCTGACTTCTCCCCGGTGCCCTTAGAACCAACTGTGGGGTTCCATTTCCTGTTTGACTCCTTGGCTCAGTGTTTCTCAACCAGAAGCAGTGGTGCACACCCCGCCCCGGGGTGCAGACACTTGGAAATGGTGTGGGGACATTTCTGATTGTCAGAGTCCACGGGGGCCTGGAGCAGGCTGACACCAGACGCCGAGTGCTCCTCGGAGGGTCCAGTGGCACTGCCACGGGGGCCCCTGCCCTGCGGGGTACGTGCTGTGGGCTGAGCACGGCCGGCCTCCCCCAGGTCCAGCACTAAAGAACAAGGCCCACGCTAAGGATTCAGCACCAGTGGACGCCAAGAGACATATTTCCTCACAGGACATTACCAGTAAAACCTCACTTTTGGATGCAAAGTCAGACGTCGCTGCCAGATCGCAGCAACTTGCCTGGACTTAGAGGAGAGAGTCGTCTGTGGCGGTGGCTCCCCGAGCCCAGAAAGGCCACATGAGCGGTCCTTCCTGTAGGGGTGAGGGGTCGCTGCTGTGGACGCCTTTTCTTTTGAACCGAGCCCAGGTGATAGGATGATAAGTCCTATGCGAGTTTGACTCATTTCTGCTCGTTGGCTAAGCCCCACTTTGGGAGACTGTCAGAGCACAGAGTGCCGTCAGGGAGAGGAGTGGCCATCTTTCTTAACCCGAGGAGTAGCTTGAGCACCTAATCACCGCCGAGGAGCTAATCGTTTTTCTGTGTCTCTGTCCCTCTCAGGAGAGAAACCCTTTATCTGTGAAATCTGTGGCAAGAGCTTCACCAGCCGCCCCAACATGAAGCGGCACCGCCGCACGCACACCGGCGAGAAGCCCTACCCGTGCGACGTGTGCGGCCAGCGGTTCCGCTTCTCCAACATGCTCAAGGCCCACAAGGAGAAGTGCTTCCGGGTCACCAGCCCCGTGAACGTGCCGCCCGCCGTCCAGCTCCCACTCACGACCTCCCCCGCCGCCCCGGTGCCGTCCGCAGTGAACACCCCCACCACCCCCGCCCCCGCGATGAACATGAACCCCGTGAGCACTCTCCCCCCGCGGCCCATCCCCCACCCCTTCTCGCACCTGCACATCCACCCGCACCCCCATCACCCGCACCACCTGCCCATCCCCCCCGTGCCTCACCTGCCCCCGCCCCCGGCGCTCTTTAAGAGCGAGCCCTTAAACCACAGAGGCCAGGGCGAGGACAGCTTTCTGCGGCACCTGGCAGAGAAGAACAGTCCGGCACAGCATCACTAACGGCCGTCTCCTCACGTGCGTTCTCCGCGAGCCGGGCGCCCACATGCGAGCGCGCAGAGGGAGCTGGTGAGCGTGTCTGTGGCCGGCAGCCCCTCCGTGGCCTCCACCAGGAGCTCTGCCGCCGCCCCGGGGAATCAGCACCCCCCCCCCCGGGGCGGGCGAGACCACCCCGAGCTCATGGAGGGGACTGCCACCTAAACCAGGGGAACCACCAAACCGAAGCCCAATTTGCTTGCATTTTCTGGTGACTTTTATAAATTTCAAGTACTCAGACTTGTGGAATTTTATAATTTCATATCAGCCGATGAGGTATGCTTGCTTTTATATCCTGGACTTCTCCTCAAAGAGGGGACAGGCCTGGTTTCCTTTGTACTAATCGGGAAGGCTGTGAGGTTAGCCCAGAGCATTAATTGTATCACTGTGTATCGTAATGAATTCTTTTCAGCTTTCGGTGCTCGCCCCGGAGCCGAGCTCGCCACGTCTCACCGCATATCAAGCATTATCGAGAAAGCTGGAAGTTTTCTCCTTTGTGTAGCTCTCCTAACGCACTCTTTATTTTACTACAGAAATTATTTTAGAGTTTTTGTATAGACTTCTTTAGTAGTCTGTTTCTAAAATGAAATGTATTTCAATAAGCGGTGTAATTTTTTCAGTGTAGCTGGACCTATGTTGTAAACTAGAAAAAAAATTTTTTATAATCATCAAAATGTGATTCTTAAAGATGCATATAACTTCTATAGTTCAAAGTTATTCTTACACCCGTACAACTCAAAGGTGCTGCAGAGATTAGGAGTGCGTGCGAGAGGGTCTCCGGACCAGGTCACTCGAGAGCGAGGTTCGGCTCGCAGATCTCCGCGTCAGTCCTGGGCGGTTTTTTAATCTCTGCCTAACACTCAAGTGTCCTCCGGGCTCCCCGACACGCTCCCGGCCTCTGTGTCTCGTGTTCGCAGAGCGCGGGGGGGCCCAGGGAAGCCGCCGGGGGCTCGCAGGTGTTGCAAGTCCGAGTCGAGCCCTCGCTGTCGGGAGGGGGAGGTGGCGGAGACTGTCTCGCCCCGGCCACAGCCGTCTCTCACTTCCCCTGGAACCACGCTCGTGCTCAGCCCCCGTGGGATGACACATCGGAGTCCCATAGCACACTTCTTGTTTCGAGGTCGCTTTATTTTTCTAGAACCGTTACACAAACCAGTACACTAAAGTCGCGGACGCAGCGTCGCTGATAGTGGCTGAGAAACCTGGGTGGTAGCGCAGGTCAGCGTTGTCCCTGGTGGGCCGCAGGTCCGTCCCACCGCTGGGTGGGCCCACCACTTCGAGCTCCAGGCCAGCACAGTTGAGACGTGTGGCGAGGTGAGGGAAACCGTGTCGCGTTGCCATGTCCTCTGCAAACACCCCTGTGGTCGCAGCGTGCACAGGCGGTGGGGGCGGCGTCTCCGGGGCCGGACCGTCGTCCAGCGGGGCGCGTCTTTGAGCTCGGAGAGCTTCGAACGAGCACGGGCAGCCAGGGGCTTACTAAAGGGGAGGCAGGACTGAAGGGCTAACATACTCCTGTGTTCTACTGATCAAATTTATCATCCAGACTCAGTATAGCTAAACATTTCGTATTTTTTTCACCTCAGAGAACTGAATTCCAAAGCTAGATCTACTTACTTTCTCTCTCTCCCTGTCTCGATTTTTTAAATCTTGAATTTATTTTTTTCATTTTTTTTCCCTCAGGCTCTTAAATCATTGCCTGGATCAGAACCCTGGCTTTTATTTATTTTTATTTTTAATATTAAATATGCAGACATACGTTAAGCACCTTTCTGGCCGATAAGTTCTGTGGCAGGCGAAAATGGAATGCTTTCCACTGAGGTTAAGTCCCTGTTTTTGAAATACTGCATTCTCTGTTAGCTTTCTGGTTCAACCTGTCCATTTTTTCCTTCTGATACTGCCTTTGTTTTCTATAATGAGCACAGAAAAATTTTGGAATGAGGCAGAAAAGTATCTGCAAACACAATGTTCCCTGCTGATTTGGATGTAATTTCTAAAGAAGGGTACTTTAAATGTGTGGATGCATTCTTGGGGCACCGAGGCACCCGGACCAACAAGGAGGGCCGACCCCCTGCGTGCGACGGCCAACCTTGAGGGCCGCCTCCCGCTGCTCCCGCTCTGCTCCCAACCCCACGGCGACGGCCTCGGCGACGACCACGAGGCCGCGGGCCTCCGTCTGCGTGCAGACCTGCCGTCCTCTCGGGGCCGAGCCGGTCCCATCAACATTAGTTTTTAAAGATGTTAATTGGCTGTACCTTATTTTGTCCTAAATAAATTTGTGTATAGGGCAGCAGTTCTGATTTCTGGACCTGAGACCTTGGAAGCAACTCTTTTGTGAGGTGTACTGTAATTATACACTGGACAATTCAGGTGGTCGTCTTCAGTGGTTTTGAGTCAAGCGAATATAGCCATAAGAAATTATCTGCCACATGCTTGGGAAAACCAGTCTTAAGCAAATAATCACCACCACTCTTAACAGAAGGAAAAAAAAATTTTTTTAAATCAACATTGTCACACAATACGGTTCTAAGCGAAGGGTGTTGTGGGGCATTCTGGAAACTTCCAGTTTTTTTCTATATATAAGTATGCCTCTTCCGACTTGGGAGTTGTGGTCTTGAGGGAAACGCCCAGAAGGTAATTGACTCCTTATCAGTGCCCTGTTCCGTGTGAGTAGTGAAATGCATGAAGAGTGTTCACAACTTCAGTGCTTCTAAATACAAGGACTGTGGGGTTAAGCCTTAAAGTACATGCACGTCGGGGCCCCGGATCTGACGGGGCTTCTCCTAAGGTCGAAGTTCTCTCCCACCCGCAGCATGAGCGCCCCAGGGCTTTAGAACTGGCTCCTGTTTGCTGTCTGTTCATGGAAAAGAACCGCGGGGGCTTGGGTTCTCAGCCACTATCTGCACTGAACCGCGTCTTTCCAAGGCCACAGCGGCCGCCCCTGCACATCACCCAGAGATCAGACCGAGGCCGTTTCCTGTCACTTAGCTGTGTTGTCTTCAAAGGTTTGTGTCGTTGCTAGGGTTAAGACCTACTTGAGGAGAATTCCCAAGGGCTTTCTTGAGTTGGTGCTGCTTTTCCTCCTTTTTCTATTCTTGTCTCATAGGTTTGTCATTGAAATATAAAGTCTTTCCCAGCCTTCAGGAAAGGCTGCTTGCTGCTCGCTCTCGCTAGGTCAGGTGGGCTCCCACCGCGGCGGGTCTCCCATCCCGAGAACAGAAGGTGAGCAGGCGAGAGGCATGCGGCCTCCTCTCCGCGTCTGTCTGTGATCTGACTGTCACTTTCAGCAAACAGGGAGGCCGCCGCGTAAACCTAGACGGGGGTCCAAAGAAACCTTTGCACATCAGGTCCAGCCCGCCCTTTCCACCCACGCTTCTCTCTTAACGACCAGCCCCGACTGCGCCGTGGGCATGCCGTATCCGTCTGCGCAATGCCAGTCAGAACCGCCTCTCCTTGCGGTCGGTCGTGCGCTCCCTCCGCTTGGCTTGTCCCTCGTGTACTGACCGAAGGCAAGACACTCTGAAGAGACACTTGGGATATTTGAGTTTTCTACTCCTGACAGTTTTTTCAGTTTTTGTGTTTGTTGAGTTGGATGTGTATGTTTAATTTTGATTTCACTGGACGTTTGACATTTTGAGAAGATCAAGCAGAAAAAGAAATCCATTGCAGGTGTATATATATTTACCCCATCTTGCACATTTCAGTTAGTGGGACACAGATGGTGGTGGGTTTTATTGTAAGAAAAAAAAAATAATGAAAGAAAACTAAAGTCAGAGAAACCTTTCTATTCGAGCTACTGTACAGAAGAGGCGTCTTTTCTTGCATTGCTGATGCACACGATGAACATTTTGACGCTGTTCTAGACGGTAGGGGAAGTATTTAATGAAGAGGGGGTTAGGTTACGTTGAAGGATTTCATCAGCTATGTACCATTACAAAAATAAACTCACTTGGAACTCTTCAGACTGTCAAGTCTAGCAAATAAATAATTGTTTTTTCCTTTGCCTAAACCAAGATAAGACATTTCCCGAAAGGTCATTTTTTTCAGGAACAAGAGGTCACTAGCCATTAGAGCTAGTGGCATCATTATGCACTGGCAGTGGCCCACTGACCTGCTCCTGACACCTGCAGCATTTAGGACAGGTAACGATGACCCTCCGGCCCAGACACTACCTCGTTAAAGCAAGCCAGAGACCCTCTCTACACTTCTATGGAAGCCATAACAGTTGCCATCAACGTATCCACTTTCATACTTCTATACTTTTATACTCCAGACTTTTTATACACTTTATGATCAGATCTCTTTGTCTTAGAGGGTAGATTTTGCACGATTCAAAGGAAAATCAAACTCCTTGGTTGTGGCACCTTTGAAGCTTCGGGTTGAGTAAATTTGAATCAAGAACCAGATAATGTACCATGTATCAAATTCCTTATTGAAGTCAGAACTATTTTGCAGAGTTGCCTATTGGGAAGACAAACTTCTCTTTCTTATTCCCTACGTGGAAGGTATATTGTTGTAAGAAACTGCTTGTAAAGCAGATCCCTACGGTCACTCTGTGTATTTCTCGATGAAACCTGTATTGTCACGACGCTCCTGCGGTTTTTATTTCCATGCGGCAGATGCAGGAGCGTGCACCCCTCCCTCCCGCCCTCCCTCGCCCCCCGCCGCGGCGCCAGCCTCTCTCGCGCGGTTCCTGAGTGCCTTCAGAACGCCAGCATCCTGGAACGCCCTTTTCCTGGTCTAACTCCTACCTCTGACTCTCTCCTTCTCCACGAGTACTGGGGCTCTCCCTCGTTCCCGTGGGTTTGGCTCGGCAGAAGAGCCGAAACCTCGGGACAGAGAATTTTGAACGGATCTGTGTGGTTTCCCCATGTCATGTCTAGATTGCATTTTTAACTTGTATTTATGTCTTACTTCTTCACAAAGTACATCTCTCGTGATGGAATATTTTATCCCCCCCCCTTACTTTTCATTGTCCTTTCTTTCCCCAGAAACCAGATGCTCTTTTAAAATGCGAGGTCATCGAGCATCTCCTTTGAGTGTCTTTTGCTCCTCCTAGCCTTCCCGAATGCCTCCTGTTGCCGCGGGGCCCCGCCTGCTGCTGTGGCTGCGCCCTGGCCCTCGGCGTCCCATCTCTTCCAGAAACGTTTCTCGAGGTTGTACCCGCGACTTCATTTTAATCAAAAGTCCCGTGTTGATTTCGGACCTGCTCCTCCCCGTCCTCCAGTCCCTCGACAGTCCCATTGCTTCCTTTTCTACTTGCGCTCCTCTGATGAATTTTTAAAGTACGATTGACAGGTCATATATGAAGGATGTGGTGGAGGGGGTTGACAGTGTGTTCTCCATGTGACACGAGCACCTTATTAATAAAGCATTTCAGCATCAGCCGATCTTCCAGTCAGGACTGGGGTCTGTGCTGTGCACAGGCCTCTAGCTCCTTTCAGTTCTCCCTCTAAACCGGAAATGCTTTAAAATGAGGAAATCGGATTGAGTTGTTTGTTTGTTTGTTTGTTTGTTCGTTGAAGCGAAGGGAAGCTATTGAGTATTTTGGTCTTAGTCAAGATCTTTCCTTTTGACTTAAGATGTCATGCCTCTTTCCTTCAAACTAATAATACTAATACTCAGGTTTCAAGACTAAAATCCACACGAAGTGGCGTGCTCAGAAGGCAGCTGTTAGTAGTCCTTAATCCTTTCTGTCCAGCGACGGTATGTTTTGGGGGACAGTGCAAAACCGTGAGAATTGGTTTATGTTTGACGAGTAAGTTCAAGACGCCGGAAGTCTCTCGCTGGCTGTTTGGAATGGGAAGGCTGGTTTGCACACTGCCAGAGGTCCATTTCTGCAGAGGGAAATAACACGGGTTTCTTATTGTTTTCATACTTTCCGCTTTTATTTGCCTCAGTAGTCCCCCTAGTATTGA